TATTACTGATAGTACTTTCTGTGTGTGATTTCGCAATAATGCCATAGTAGAACGTGTGCAATGTGCAATGTGTGTGTAGGACGTGTGCAATATGAAGTACCGTCGTCCCGATCTCACAGGAAAAGGAAATGAGGAATTGATGTATGTGCAAATGACAGTTCACTTCAGCTGAACAACTGTGATCAGGACACCGAAGTGCATTGGATCCTGTTGCCGCGACCCACATCGCAGAACTAACAATAAATAACAAAAGCAAGCTAGTGGGTTGGGTACAAACAGAATGTAGAGAAAATGGCAACAAGAAGAAGTGTGCCGAACTAGTCAAACTAGAAAGAGAATTCGTGGATTGTCCTGTTCTCCGAGCCGAGCATTTATCTTGAAGACCTTTCGTTATCAAAATAGGCAATATCTTCTGTGTGGCTATTAAATCCTGAGTCGTGGAGTCGCGCATACACAGGAAATCTCACGAGTTAATAACCATCGTCTAACGTCAGCGTTTCTATTTCTTGAAGCCGTTTCGTGTTCTACCTGCTAAATGGCTGCATCAGTGTCTATACTGAATCAGAACTTCTAAGTGCTCGAGTTTCTCCGATAATTTTTGTTTCATTGGGCTAAACACTGTAACTGTGACAGTTGTGATGTTGCGAAGCTGTTTGTCCTGTGATGTAATGCTTTAAGTCTCTTCACCTAAGCTTGGCTTTTTTCGAAAAGCATGTGATGGTCACAATGCGCATAGATGTTCCTCCGTACACCATGTGCTACTGTGATCACACATGCAAAATTATTGTTGATCACTCCACTGATAGCTGCAGCTCAGTTGTTGGTTAAGATGGCCCCCCTCTCCTGATATGTTCATCAGATCCATTCCAGTAAAACCGAGGAATGTTACTAATTGGTATTAGTATACTCACGCTGCAAACATAGTGTTGGGGTCGCAACCCGTTAGTGGATGATCGATGCATACACAAGCAAAAGAGCGATTTATGGTGAATTCCAGATCCATGGAATCTATGGTGGGCTCCTTGAAAGGTTAGATCAGGCCACTGAAGTGGATCCAATTGATTGTTTCTTCAAGCCCATTATTTCCACTAGTTGCAGGCAACATCTAGTTCACACGTGGCCTATAGAAACCTGGGTTCATAGCTTTGGGACTGTAAGTGGTGCTGAAGATAGTACTAAGAGCATCAATTAGCTGATGCTTTTTCTGATAAGTGTTTCGGTGTGGTCGATAGATACAACCATTAGAAAATCAGCAGATGAGATTGCTAGCCGTAGTGAATTCCCCAGGCAACTTGATCAACGAGGACCGCAGTAACACTATTACATAGATGTGATACAACCACCACCAAGTTTATGTAAATGGACTTTGCGGAACAAGTGATAAGCTAAAACGTTAATTTCGTTCAGTTCAGTTTAACAACTATGGTCAGAGCACCGAAGTGCAGTGGATCCATATAGCACGTGTCACCTCATCAGAAAAATATAAATAACAACGGTGAGAAAATGAGGTTGAATGTGGATCAAATATAAAAAAACTGAATCGGGACAGGAAAGCCTAAAACAAATCGGGATGAAATGAAGATTAACAACTAGATGCAAGAAATAGAATGTAGGAATGCATCTGACTGCGTGACTGCGTCACATATGATAGCATCCCCAACCGCAGGTGTGGACACTCCCGAGGACCTCATACAGGAATACAGCACGTACCAGCCTGACTAAGTCTCTCGGTCAGTTTCTTCAAGCTTCTATACCACGTACATGGACTGGTCGCATCGCGGTTTCACCCAAGTTGTGCAGCCATGGTATGTAAAGCATGCCTAGGAAGCAGGTCAACGGACGAACGAAAGAGCTAATGTATTGAAGTCCTTAGCAAACACCAGAAGACTTCTTGCCATAGACTAACAGGTGGACCTCAGCAATGCTCAGCCTGTGTTCCCGCCAGATGTGAGCAATACTGCGCGAGCACCGGTGGTCAAACACGGCCGTGTTTCATGTCCTCACTGCGAAATGGCCACGTCCCTGATCAATATAGAAGCAAGGGCTTTATCGCAGCGTTAAGAATCCTATCTTCCACTGCCACGCTGATATACCGCCGTCACCATGCATGTCCAAGCCTTTGGAAATCCACGCGAGCGTTGCTGCTACGCGAAGTAACCTCGCCCGTGACGCAACCACCAGAGGTCGTATAGCTGCCAATGCAAGTGAACCGATCCACCAATTATACTGGCTGTTCGCAGATAGCCAGGACCGGAGGTGTGTCGATTCAGTCCTAGAGTAGTAGTTTGCACTTTGAAGTTGCAAACGGTGTACCGAAGCTTGCAGCGCTACGCGTTAATCTT